CCGACAAAAACAAATCCTACCAACTCAATTCAATCCTTAAAGTTGGCCCCAATCTAATTTTTTATGTAGTACAACATAAACTTGGTAGGAATTATATATCTCGTCTATACAAAGAAAACCCCCAAGGCATGAAACATACTTTGATTTACATTGAGCGACAGTGTACATTTTACAAGGATCATAATATCGGTTAAACACCATAAACAACCGACCTTGACTCAGTTGGTAGTGTCGTCGAATTGCAGATTAATCTTTAGGTTGTTGGTTGGTCGGGTACATATAGCATTTTTTTAGAGAAAAAAATTTATACATTTGTTTTTTTAAAAATGTTCTCTAATTAGTATATAGTAATCAGAAAAGGGTTTCGAAAAATGAACTTGTAAATATAATTAGTTATTACATTCTCCACTTCCCTGTTTTGGTCCACAACAAAAAAAATATTTTTGGCGCAAGCAGAACCCCGACTTTGCTTAGTTTGTAAATCACAGTCGAATCCTAATTTGTCACTTTGAGTATGTATACTTGTTAACCTAAATAAATGTTGAATCCTATTTATGAGCCATACAATGTGATAAGAGGTATACGCGTTTGTCATGCATGTTATATATATATATATATATATACACACACACATATATAGGCATGCGGTTACATCAAATTAATTTTTTTTTTTGTATCATTGCAACGTGTAAGTCGAATGAATAAAAATATCTTCTATCATTAGGCATGATAATTGAAAAAAACGTTTACAACATTTAGTTAATCGAATTAGACGGAAATGTTATCTAAAAATAAAAGAAACTCCCCGGCAATAAATGTTATAAGAGTTAACAAAACATTAAAGATCATTAATTCATCAGGTCTCTAAACCTTTATATATAATTGTTTGCATATAAATACCACTCATACTTCAATATCTAGACCAACAAAAACAAAAAACATAACATATTGGGATATTTTAATCAAATCCAAATACATCTGGGGAAGATGACAAAACTCAACATCAAGATCGCTATGACCTTTGTTGTTATAGCTATGATGTATGCATCTATGTCCGCCTTTGCAATTGAAGAAGAGGGACCGAAGCAACTCTGGGATGAATGTCTCACCAAGATGTCTCCAAAATGTACATTAGATATAGTCGAAGAGATTTTCTGGAATGGAATCGTATCCGATGCTTGCTGCCGCGAGCTTGTCCTAGAGGGAAAGCTTTGTCATGACACTCTAATCAAATACATGGCAGATAGACCGAGTTTTATTGTCCGTGAGCCCGAGTATCTTGCAAAGAAAGATGCTTTGTGGACTCGATGTGCGTCGGTTAAAGCTTAAGTGTATTATGAAATAAAGTCATCTCCCTTGACTTAATAAATTTTTATTTTTCTTGCTTAAAGTTTTACTCCATACCTAACTCTACAATCTCAACTTTTTTTGTTCCTTAAATAGGATGATGATACCTGAAAGTAAATTGAATCATTAATTTGCAAACAAATCTTCAAAATAATCATGCGATCATACTATATATACAGACCCAAAACACATTCATATGACGTGGAAAATCAAGGACGTACAAGGAAGTTGGGGACCACCGACACATCTCCGGTACTTTTTGGATTGGATCAACCAATCTACAAACCGCGGCGAGGTTACGATTAAGAAGTTTCTCACACAAGCTATCACATACACCATTTGGATGGAAAGGAACTCTCGCATTCATAGAGATCGACACCTTACTATCCACCAGGCAAGACTCAAGGTCGACCGGACCATGAGGAACAAACTAATCTCTCTCCACAATTCGAGCACGACAGAAAACAAACTACTACAACAGTGGTATCGCATTACTTCATCTAGGGGAATGTAACTTTGTCCATTTATGTATGGAGTTCCCCTTAGAGTTGTCTCTATTTTTTAATATTTTTTGTAAATATTAAGACTTTTGTTTTTTCCGTTGGTATTAATTCAATCACATTACATCAAAAAAAAAAAAGTTGGGGACCAAATACTAATAATGGACCATGTAATCTCTTACGTTCCATGCATGTTCCTTAATTTTTTAGGTTATGTGATTTTCATTATCAGATTAAAGTTAGAATTCGGTCTGAGTATTAACACAAGGGAGTTTCATATTCTTCCCTGCAAATCCACTCATCTCACTGATGTTTTCTTTTGTCTGTCTCCACCCATCGATTTCAGTCCAACGAAATCTTCAATGGGTTTAGTTTATAAAATATAGATGATGATTACATTACTGCATTAAATACATAAAGGTGATACATTTCTCATAATTAGTATGTATATATATATATACGTACAAGAAACATTTTTGGCAAAATACATCAACTGTAACTTTACATTAAACATACACTCTTACAACACAAAAAGATAAAGATGAGAGAAGCAAATAACAGATATCAAAGGGTAGGTAGGTGTCTCCAGCTTCATGGGCATTAATCTAACCCCAAATCAAAAAAATGAGATCCTAAAAATAGGATTAATACAAAACATATATTTAAAAAACATTTATTGAATTTTAAGCTATACTCTTATATTTAAAGGCAAATCAAATCAACCAAGGAAAATATTACCAGCAAAGATCATATAACCATTGTGCACTCACAATATCCTCTACTTCTGGCTGCTGCTACTGCTGCTTATACTCTTCTTCTTAAGCAGATTTCCGAATTTTCGGAGCAAAGGCTTCTTTTTCTTGAGTTGTTGATCCTTTGTCAATAGACTTCCATGATCATCGAGGTTTTCCATCGTTGATAACCTTTTGGTGAATTTTTTTTGCAAATGATTCGATTTATTTTCAGGTAACATCATCTTATTTAAGGAACAAAACGTAGAGACCGTAGAGTTAGATATGAGTAAAACTTCAAGCAAAAATAAAAATAAAAATTCATCAAGTCGAAGGAGATGACTTTATTTCATAATAGACTTATAGTTAAACTTTAACCGACGCACATCGAGCCCACAAAACATCCTTCTTTGCAAGATACTCAGACTCACGGGCAATAAAACTTGGTCTATCTGCCATGTATTTGATTAAAGTATCATGACAAAGCTTCCCCTCTAGAACAAGCTCACGACAACAAGCATCGGATACAGTTCCGTTCCAGAAAATCTCTTCGACTATATCAAACGTACATTTTGGAGACATTTTGGTAAGACATTCATCCCAAAGCTGCTTCGGTCCCTCTTCTTCAATTGCAAAGACGGACAGGGATGCATACACCGTAGCTACAATAGCAAAGGCTATAGCGATCTTGATATTGAGTTTTGTCATCTTCCCCAAATGTATTTGGATTTGATTAATTTTTTCCAATATGTTATGTTTTTGTTTTTCTTGGTCTAGATATTGAAATATGGGTGGTATTTATATGCAAACAATTATAAAAGGGTTACGGACATCCTTTAAGGTCTTGTTAACTCTTATAGCATTTATTATTGAGGAGTAAAGGGTTACGGACATCCTTTAAGGTCTTGTTAACTCTTATAGCATTTATTATTGAGGAGTTTCTTTTATTTTTCTATAACATTTCCTTATAATTCGATTAATTGAACGTTTTAAACGTTGTTTTCAATTACAATGCCTAATGATAGAAGATATTTTTTATTCATTGACTTCTCTCTTGCAATGATACAATTTTTTTTTAATTTGATGTAATCGCGCATATATATATATATAACAACCATGACATGCGCGTATACGTCGTATGGCTCATAGTTAGGATTCGACATTTATTTAGGTTAATAAGTATACGCAAACAAGTGACAAATTAGAATTCGGTTGTGATTTACCAACTAAGCAAAGTCGAGTTTCTGTTGTGATTTGCGCCAAAAATGTATTTCTTGCTATGGACCTAGGCAGAGAAGTGAAGAATGTAATAATTAATTATATTTATAAGTTCATTTTTCAAAGGAAAAATTAAAAAAAAGAAGCACTGAACTTTCAAATTTTGACAAAAAAATATTGAACTTTTTATTTTATCAAATAAATATTAAACTTTTAAAGTTTGACAAAATAAACACTTAACTCTTCAATGATTGTCAAAATAAACAAAATGACTGACGTGACACAATGAGATGCAAACACGTCAGATTATTTTTCGTACTTTTTTTTGACAATCGAAAAAAGTTCATATATTTTTTTGGATCATTAAAAAAGTTCAGTGATTTTTTGATAATTGGAAAAAAGTTCACGTATATTTTAGATTACTTAAAAAGTTCAGTGTTTTTTAAATTCGTTTAAAAAGTTTAATGTTTATTTGACAAAAAATAAAGTTCGGTGTTTTTTTGTCAAAATTGAAAAGTTTAGTATTTATTTTTAGGGATTTTCCCTTTTTCAAAACCCTATTGTTATATACTAGTTAGAGAACATTTTTCAAAAAAACAAATGTATGTTTTTATTCCCTAAAAAAATGCTATATATATTCGGGCAACCAATGACCTAATGATTAATTTGCAATTCGACGACTCTACCGACTGAGCCAAGGTCGGTTGTTTATAGTGCTTCACAGATGCTATGATATTTGAATTGTGAAATGTACATTGTCGTTCAATATAAATCAGAGTATGTTTTATTCCTTGCGGGTTCTTGTAGAAACCAGAAATGTAATTCCTACCAAGTTTGTGTCTGACGACATACAAACTAGTATGTATCAGCTTTATGGATTGAATTGAATTGGTCAGATTTGTGGCCTCATTAGTACAAAGTAAAAGGTATTATCTCGATCTAGATGATGTCGGATAAAATGCGTTTGGGGACTATACATATATATATATATAGAGAGAGAGAGAGGGGATTTAGATAGATAGATAGATAGATAGATAGATAGATAGATAGAGAGAGAGGATTTAGGAGGTTTGGTTTCAAATAATGTGTTCATATTATAAAACAATAAATAGCGGATTATATAATTAAATATGTTGTGAAATGTGAAAAAGAAAAACACAATTTATTTAGTCGAGTCACATTTTTCTTTTGAAATAGATCTATATCAAACGGTTGTTTTGACCGATGCACAACGAGTCCATAAAGCATCTTTCTTTGCCAAATACTCGGGTTCGCGGGCAATAAAACTTGGTCTATCTGCCATGTATTTGATTAGAGTGTCGTGGCAGAGCTTTCCCTCTTGGACAAGTTCGTGGCAACAAATATCGGAGACCGTTCCGTTCCAGAAAATCTCTTCGACTATATCCAATGTACACTTGGGAGACATTTTTGTCAAGCATTTATCCCAAAACTGCTTCGCTTCCCCTTCCTCAATTGCAAAGACGGGCACAGATGCATAGACCACGCCTACAATAGCCAATGCCACAACGATCTTGATGTTGAGTTTTGTCATCTTGGTCAAATGCGTTTGGATTCGATTCAATAATATGTTTTTGTTTTATGTTTTCTTGCTATTGAAATCGAACTACGAAGGGTATTTATATACACCAATGAAAATGACAATAACATATGTTTAACTCTTGTATCATTTATTGATTGGAAAGTTTTTGTATGTGTTTCCTAACATCTCAATCCAATTCAATGAACCCAAGGTTCTTGAAATTGTTCATAATTGTCGATAGAAGATATTTTAAAGACCAACTTCTTCTTCGTTATTGAATATCTTAGGAAAATATTTATATATTAAAAAAACTGTCTCATATATGAGCCTCTATTTCTCCAATATATTATATCATGTTTAAAAAATAAAAATTTTAAAACATATATATATACATATACTTATACATATATACATACATATACATATATAACAAACTTCTTAACTCCTCTCTCTCTATATGTATATATGTATAGCCCCAAAACGCATTTTTAGATTTTGCTGACATCATCTAGCTGGATTGAGATAATGCCTTTTAGTTTGTACTTGTGAAGCTATCACTTGTTTGAAACCAAAGTTGGCAAAAACAAATCCTACCAACTCAATTCAATCCTTAAAGTTGGCCCCAATCTAATTTTTATGTAGTCCGACATGAACTTGGTAGGAATTATATATCTCGTCTCTACAAGAAAACCCCCAAGGCATAAAACAGACTTTAATTTACATTGAGCGACATTGTACATTTTACAATTCAAGGATCATAGTATTCATCTAAATCTAAAGTTTCTTCATACTTGTTAACCTAAATAAATGTTGAATCCTATTTACGGGCCATACAATGATAAGAGGTATACGTGTAAGTCGAATGAATAAAAATATCTTCTATCATTAGGCATGATAATTGAAAACAACTTTTTACAACATTTAGTTAATCGAATTAGATGGAAATGTTATCTAAAAATAAAAGAAACTCCCCGGCAATAAATGTTATAAGAGTTAACAAAACATTAAAGATCATTAATTCAGGTCACTAATCCTTTATAATTGTTTGCATATAAATACCACTCATGCTTCAATATCTTGACCAAGAAAAACAAAAAACATAACATATTTGGAAATTTTAATCAAATCCAAATATGACAAAACTCAACATCAAGATCGCTATGACATTTGCTGCTATAGTTATGGTGTATGCATCTATGCCCGTCTTTGCAATTGAAGAAGAGGGACCGAAGCAACTCTGGGATGATTGCCTCACCAAGATGTCTCCAAAGTGTACATTAGATATAGTCGAAGAGATTTTCTGGAATGGAATCGTATCCGATGCTTGCTGCCGCGAGCTTGTCCTAGAGGGAAAGCTTTGTCATGACACTCTAATCAAATACATGGCAGATAGACCAAGTTTTATTGCCCGTGAGCCCGAGTATCTTGCGAAGAAAGATGCTTTGTGGACTCGATGTGCGTCGGTTAAAGCTTAAGTGTATTATGAAATAAAGTCATCTCCCTTGACTTAATAAATTTTTATTTTTCTTGCTTGAAGTTTTACTCATATCTAACTTTTCGATCTCAACTTTGTGTTCATGAAATAAGATGATGTTACCTGAAAATAAATGGAATCGTTTGCAAACAAATTTGTATTTTTCATGAGATTGGAAAATCAAGGACGTACGAGGAAGTTGGGGACCAAATACTAGCAATGGACCATGTAATCCTTAATCTTTCTCTCCCCATCGGTTATGAACTTTCTCGAAGCCTTACATGAATTGGACCGCTGAATATATAAATGTCTCCACTGCATATTTTTGCTTTGTTGCGAATAACCTTCGTGTTCCATGTTCCTTTCTTAGGTTATGTGATTTTCATTATCAGATTAAAGTTGTCTTGTAGGTTTAAAGTTAGAATTCGGTCTGAGTATTAACACAAGGGAGTTTCATATTCTTCCCTGCAAATCCACTCATCTCACTGATGTTTTCTTTTGTCTGTCTCCACCCATCTATTTCAGTCCAATGAAATCTTCAATGGGTTTAGTTTATAAAATATAGATGATGATTACATTACTGCATTAACTTCATAAAGGTGATACATTTCTAATAATTAGTATGTATATATATATATACGTACAAGAAACATTTTTGGCAAAATACATCAACTGATAACTTTACATTAAACAACACAAAAAAAAAATGACGAGAGAAGAAAATAACAGATATCAAAGGGTAGGTAGGTGTCTCCAGCTTCATGGGAATTAATCTAACCCCAAATCAAAAAATGAGATCCTAAAAATAGGATTAATACAAAACATATATTTAAAAAAAAATTCTTATTGAATTTTAAGCTATACTCTTATATTTAAAGGCAAATCAAATCAACCAAGGAAAATATTACCAGCAAAGATCATATATCCATTGTGCACTCACAATATCCTCTACTTCTGGCTGCTGCTACTGCTGCTGCTTGTACTCTTCTTCTTAAGCAGATTTCCAAATTTTCGGAGCAAAGGCTTCTTTTTCTTGAGTTGTTGATCCTTTGTCAATAGACTTCCATGATCATCAAGGTTTTCCATCGTCGATAACCCTTTGGTGACATGATCGAAGTTATCACCTTCTGCTTTTGATTCAATTTCCTCTTCAATCGAGTCACGCTCTGTCTCTGAAACCTCATTCTTCTCTATCTGGCAGCTTTCCCACATCTTGAATTCCTCTTCCACCGTGTCTTCATCTCTTTCCTTCAGTTTTCCTTTTCCGTCGCCTTCAACTACAACATCCACCAACTCTTTATCGATCACTTCCTCGAAATTTTCTTGCATGATCTGATCTCTGGTTCCGTCATGAGAAATCTCAGTTTTTTCCCCACTTCTGATACCGTTTTCCTCAGAAAATTCTACAATTTTTGGAAGCAAGTCATAGTCTTTCTCAGTGTCGGTGAGCTCACCATTTTCCTCTTGTTTCTTTTTGGTGGAGGAAGCTTCTTCAAGCAACTTTGATAATTCCTCAGCCTTCTTAAGAGCTGAAGTTTCCTTATCTTTTAGCTCGTCATTATCGTTGATAATGCTCTGCAGCTCGAGTTTCTTATCAAGCAGACTCTCTTTTAGCTTTGACAGTTCCTCTATCTTCTGAACCGC